ATGTTTATTTTATTAATATTGTCTATAAATATTATGAAAAGTAAAGGTGATATATTGTTTCTAGAGCAGATTTTTGTGAACTCTTAAATCCACTGCCGATTTGCTGGACCTGACACAGATTCATCCTTAAGAGAACACTGGAACATTGGAGCTAGATAACGACTCCAAATCGGATAATTTTATCACAAGAGAATAAACACCAGGGATACGAAATCAAGAAGAGAAATATATTGTTAACGAAAACGGATCTGAAGAATTTTAAAGAAACGCCTTTGGCAGCATAAATCTAAATAAAGCACTTTTATTTTCGTTTATTTTCTCTATGCTAAGTCGTCTCAGTAAATCACCAGAGATCTACAGGTAGATGTAAGGCTCTAAAGCTTAATACATTTCATTTTCTAATTTTCACTAATTTGTACCTAAACTGTCAGTATGGAGTTGTCCTTATTTTGTGTTAGTATTTGGTTCACCACCTCTAGATGAGGGGTGTATATTATGAATATCTCTAAATACGATACTGTCCATTATAATACAGTGAAAGAGGCAACAATTCCAAACGACCGAAAACCGAGTTCACGTAACAAAATACTGCTAACCGAGGACTAAAATCAGTGATTCAACCCTGCTGGGACCACAACTGTGTTCACGTTAACCAAGTATTCTTTCTAAGCGAGTTCGTGTTAACAGATTTTTTAGTGTATTTCGGTCAGCTGACAAGCCCTATGTTTGCATGCAAGAACGCTATCCTGATACATCTCTTATTTTCTTATGCGTTTCATTTCTGAATGGTTATAATTGGTTATTTGTGTCCATCACTGAAATCTTTAGGTCCTTCTTCTTTATCACCTTAGCGTTAACCGGTTGTAACTCTAGATATATGTCCACCTTTGGACGTTTGTCTTATTTCAGAACTCAAGTTTTGCGCACATTTGATTAACAGATGTGACTTACTTGTGTGCTGAGGGTCTGTGCCTTACTGGCAGATGTGACTTACTTGTGTTGAGGGTCTGTGCCTTACTGGCAGATGTGACTTACTTGTGTTGAGGGTCTGTGCCTTACTGGCAGATGTGAGTTACTTGTGTGCTGAGGGTCTGTGCCTTACTGGCAGATGTGACTTACTTGTGTGTTGAGGGTCTGTGCCTTACTGGCAGATGTGACTTACTTGTGTTGAGGGTCTGTGCCTTACTGGCAGATGTGACTTACTTGTGTGCTGAGGGTCTGTGCCTTACTGGCAGATGTGAGTTACTTGTGTGCTGAGGGTCTGTGCCTTACTGGCAGATGTGACTTACTTGTGTTGAGGGTCTGTGCCTTACTGGCAGATGTGACTTACTTGTGTGCTGAGGGTCTGTGCCTTACTGGCAGATGTGACTTACTTGTGTTGAGGGTCTGTGCCTTACTGGCAGATGTGACTTACTTGTGTTGAGGGTCTGTGCCTTACTGGCAGATGTGACTTACTTGTGTTGAGGGTCTGTGCCTTACTGGCAGATGTGAGTTACTTGTGTGCTGAGGGTCTGTGCCTTACTGGCAGATGTACTTCAACTTCGACAGAAGCACCCATAATCAGTCTCATTTTACCACAAGCTTGTTAGTGGCAGTGGGTTTTTCTCTTTTCTCTCTATAAAGGGGCCCGAGAATCTCTAGATTTATTTCATTCCTCTGTGATTTCTCTTTTTACTTTAATCACGTTTCCTATTTTCCGAAACGAGGTGCTTAGAACAGCAGTTAAGACCGAGCATCCAACCCTACTTGTACTTTATGTAAGAGTTATGAATAGTGGGTGTGTTCATGGAGATCTTTGCGGTATTTGCCACTGATTGCTGATTAGCTAACTACGTCAGTCGATCGTTTGAGTTGTAGGCGAGACGCTTATAATTTATGCTAGAAAAGATCCTACACATGTTTTCTTTATCTTGTCACTCTCGTTTTGTGTGTGTGTGTGTTGTTAACTATAAGGTTACTCAGCGAAAGAAGTGGGCATACTTTACTGTTACCACTCACCACACGACACATAAACTCTCTCGATTCTCTATCTGACTTTCTATATTATCTCTCTGTTTCTCTCCGTATGTCTTTCTCTCTGTATACGTTATGTGCGTATCCTTTACAGGACTTTGCAGAACCAACCCCATCATTATTTGGCTGTTGTGGTTTTTCTAGGCACATTTTAGGTTCAGTCGTTTGCTATTGCTCATGAACGGTCAGCGCTCGGTACCACTATCGAAACCAGCGCAAGACAAACCGTTCTGCAGCTGGGATCGAACCCGGCACTCCGGCATTAGGAAGCGCATTCGCAACTCTTAAGCCACAGATGCCGACTCTCTGAAAAGCTCTCATTTTTCTCACGCATGCATCTCATCAACTCGTTGTGCTTTTACTCAAATGTTCTGCTTTCGCTCTCTCCTTGTTTTCTTCGCCCTTTAGTGCTCTTGCTGACACATCCGGTATGTCCATATTTCCATGTTAATTATTTTTCTCATATACAACAGAAAGAATGGTACATTTCACAACATTTGCAGTGATTTTGTATCAGCTTACCCTCGTGCCAAGCTCTTTCTGAGAGAGCTAACAACCTTGGCAGTAACATATAATCTGTGACGGACTGAGTTCGTAGTAGCTCCCCAAACAGACTTCCCTGAATGCCTGCAAATAGTTGAGAAACGTTGTCATCATCAACAAAAGCATCATTATCATCATTATCATTATCCATTAAGCATTTATGGTAATGTGACCCTTAATTCCAGTCTCTAGTGGGTTCCGGAACCTGTCTCTGTGTGTGTGTGGGTGGGTGGGTGGGATAGACCCTTAACAAGCATATCGTAAAATGTGTTACAATTATGTCCATCAGTCCTTGAAGTTGTGTTTTTTTTTCAGCCATTAAAACGATATCATCGGCATATTGCTGGTTCTTCACAGTATGGCTACCAACCGATATTCCTGGCGTACCATTTGTGGAACTCATTATTTCACTGCGCAAACTGAATAAATCGGTTAACAGTACACATCATAGTTGTCATTTCTAACGCCTGCTTCTAGTTGCCAGTGTATGTTTTGTGTATGTATGTATGTATGTATGTATGTATGTCTGTCTGTCTGTCTGTCTGTCTGTCTGTCTGTCTGTCTGTCTGTCTGTCTGTCTGTCTGTCTGTCTGTCTGTCTGTCTGTCTGTCTGTCTGTCTGTCTGTCTGTCTGTCTGTCTGTCTGTCTGTCTGTCTGTCTGTCTGTATGTATGTATGTATGTGTGTGTGTGTGTGTGTGTATGTGTGTGTGTGTGTATGTATGTATGTATGTATGTATGTATATATGTATGAATGTATGTATGTATGTGTGTGTGTGTGTGTGTGTGTGTGTGTGTGTGTGTAAACTAAAGCATCAATACTTTCTAATCAATGATGTTTTTTTTAAACATTTCTTTCATCTTCATGTTGTAGATATTTTACACAATATTGCACTCAACCATTCTTGTCTAAGAGAAACGCGTCCTTTGCCAGCTTTCCTGCCAAAAGTGTTTCCTATGTTTTCTTCCTTCATTTTTGGTGGTCGCCCTCTGATTATCTTTTATGTTATCATGATTTTTTATTACTGTTTGTCACGACTTTAGGACGTTTTATATGACAAAATAAGTGCCTTTCTACGAGAAGGGATAGCTTTCTCTTTTTCTTCTCTTCGACCTTGTAAATCAGCGAAGTGTCGGGGGAAAATGTAATATTCGGTAATGCGCTTTGTCAAGAACACTATTAAGATTGATGTTCATTTCTGTAAGGCTGTTTTTATTGCCATCATGTCATCTATTTCAAGGTCTTTCGTTCGCTCTATACCCGTTGTAACGTTTTAGTGTGGCTCGATGTGGCAAATAGTACTAGGGTTTTCTTCTTATATGTCCAAACCACCTCACTTGTTGTTTTTTGATGACCTGTAAGACTGGCTTTATTCCTAGCATTCGACTGATTTCGTGATTTCGTATTCTGTCTTTCATCGAAACTCCTGCAGCTCTTCTAAGTAATTTCTTCTCTGTTGTAACAAATTTACGTTCATTATAGGATGTAAGTGCCCACGTTTGGCACACACAGTAGACCAAGGGGAAACTACTTAGATTAATATCATAATAAACTCGCATTTGTGTCACCTTTTGTTAACGCAAAGTGTAAATCTTAAATTGTTCTATTGCTATTATCAATGCCTTCTAAAGTTCATAAATTTTAAACAACTCTTGCGTACTTCTTACATTAGTAAAAGTCTCACTTATGTGACAATGACTTAACATACTAATTTCACAGATAAAATTAGCTGATCTTCAGAGTTGTATAAAACGGTTCTTATGTCTTTTCTTCTTATAAATGAAGATTGTCATCCCCTTGTTTGGGATGCAATATTTCGTTATTTTGTTGCTAGGAGCCGCAATATAACGGTTGCAAGCGGTTTCCGGGACCTGTCAAGGGGTGATCCGCATGTTAGCATTTTGTGTTTATCACCCCAGGACCGCGCAGCCACCCCCCTCCTCCCCACCCATCCCCCAATATATTAGCAGAAAGATGTGTCATAAAGACAAATAACAGAATAAAATAGGCAAAAACTGCATTTAAAAAATATAGAATGGTATAGAACGTTATTAAAAAGTTAATTCTCGCTTGCAATATAGAGTCAATTTTTACAAACAGCTATAAACCCTTGACAATAATTAAACAAGCCATAACAAATTTTCTGAGACCTCAGAGATGTGGTTTTAAGGAGCAATGGGGGAAAAAAAAGTAATCCAAATGTTTTGAAAAAGGCAGAGCCCGAAAACCACTCATCGCACACATCAGATGGAGACGTATATATCTTTAGCCATGATATGAGAAGAGGGGATCTGGAACATTTTGTGACCACTGGAAAGATAGGTGGAAAGAGAGCTAAATAATGAATGTTTGCCCTCAAACGGTTAAGAACTGGGCACCAGGCCCGTCTTGTATTCAAGGAAAACAAAGCGAGAACATATTTGACAATCTTTTGTCGTGCTAGTGAGTGGTGTCAGCACAAGAACTCATACATGCTGCTGGAGATCAGAGATTGCGGACGAGCATGATGCTCACGTCAGTGAACAAAGCACTTAGTGATGATTAATTCCCCGCCCCCCTTTCCATCAGAGGTAAACAAAATTGATAATGTTTATTGGGTCTCCAAAAGGAAAACGCAGAATTTAGGCTCCTTGATCAGACGTTTGTCCAGCATAATATAGTTCGAAAAAGGTTTCTTCAAAATATTAGGATGTGTGTTGGGAATCGTCTTCAGTCATATCTGATTACCCTCAATGTTTTCTCTCTTCTGCAGAGGCGGACACTGCTCACTGTCGTCACCCTTGCAGATGGTGATGTTCCTGCCACTTCTGAACGTGTCAGCGTTCATGTAGAGGTTCTCCGGCATGCTGGCAAACACCTTTTTGGTGTCAGTGAACCTGGTAGCCCAGTACAGCCCTGGCTCTCGTGGGTCGGGCTCGTAAGGATGATCCAAGTACATGTTTGTTGCTGGTGTCACTATAACCTGAAAGAAAGGGGTTCAGATTAGGGTTAGATACAAATACTGAATTTGTTTAACAATTCCTATGATTAAAAAGTAAGAGGGTTCATTGTTTATGGTCAAATTTAAATTTTTTTGTAATATTGGTGTCGTGGAAAAAAAGGGGGGGGGGGGCGGGGCGGAGGCGGGGGGATCTAGGGATTTGTAGATAGTAGTATGAGAACGGCAATGTAGAAGAGATCAACGCCTCTTCTTCTTCTTCTTCTTTTTTTCTCCACTATTGGAATGCCTCGCGGCGTCAGGACAGGAAGAGGTCTCTGGAACAGGCCGTTCTGTTCACTTCGTATATAGTACTGTTCAGTGTCTCTAATATTTGTGTCGTCCATATTCTGTATGGTCGACCTCTGGCTCTGTTACCACTGTATCTGTATAACATTACTCTATGTTGTTCTTCAATGCCTCGCTACATGGTATTCCTAACGACAACAGGTGGTGTACTGTAGCCAAACAACGTTCTGAAGATGGAACATAGTCTAAAGGTAGCCGCAGTAAAATATATTTATTTTCATGAAATTATACATTTTACACAGCATTTTACCACACCGATGGACTCACCTTGAAATCACTGTTGGCGAAGTCATATGCTCGTCTCATGGTGCCCCACTCCCAGACGTTGTTCCAGGCGTAGACATAAACCTGTCTGAGAGACGATACCGGTGTCAATAATGCGATTAATAGATTTTTAATGTTAATAAATAAGATGTGTTTTTTTAACAGAACAATTCGTAGAATTCTTTGGATGGCAAAAAAGAGCAACCCAAATGTTTTGAAATAGGCGAGGTATTGAAGACAACATCACAAACATCGTAAAGAGACAGTCATCACTGGTTGGCAATGTAATGAAAAGAAGGTAATAAGTATAGGGTGTGATCACTGGAAAAAATCTGTGAAAACAGAGCAAAACAACGTGAACAGTTTTTTGACAACCCTTCATCAAGGCATGGAGGGATCAGCAAACGAACTGATACATGATGGTGAAAATAGCAGATCGTAGACTAGTATAATCGCACACGCCAATTTGCAAGCCTTTGACGATGATGATAACAGATTTATGTTTCTCTCCAGGTTGGTGCAGCCGTTATGGGCACCATAATTACAACGTCTTAGAGGTTGAACGGGAAATCTGGGATCCGCCCTCTTGGTCTCCTGTTCCGACAGCAAATTTTGTAATTTAAATCATATGATGCTATGGTAAACCTTCAGATGGCACCTCCCTCGGAGGGAATAAACCACTCGATCAATCAATCATAAGCCATAGCGCCACTGGCGAAGAAAGGGTCTCTTGGAAATGTTTTACCTACAGCACTGGATGTACAAATCTCCCCAGCCAACATTAGCTATGGAGAGCTCACAACTTGGTCCAAGTACAAGTGCCTGTGGCAGCAGCCGCGGTGGGGCGGCTAGACGCTCGCCTGTGGATCCAAAGATCGCGGATTCAAATCCAAACGGGGGCCCACATTTTTTTTAAACGACCTTGGTTCCCAGTGCGGCCCAGCCTTGAATGGGTACCAGATAAAGTCATAGAAAGTAAAGGCGGCAGGCGGAAAGTTGACCACATCTCCCACCGAGTTCTGATTGGTCTATAAAATATAGATCTAGCACAGCCCAATACGCTTGAAATTGTGGAAAAAGGCCCCTTTATTTGCATTATACGTGCCAGTAATTGTATGTGCGTGCATACATACGCACATGTGTCTCTCTAAATTCGTGCGTCTTATATCGGCCTGTATGTTGTCAATATGTCTGTCTCCATCTGCGGCTGTCAGTCGATCTCTGTCATTTGTTTGTCTGTAGAAAAATTAAAAAAAAAATTATTTAGTTTAGTTAGATGCGTGTCCTGTACGGGATATTGAAGAACCAACATTTAGCATTTTGTTCGGCTCTTTGTTTTACTACTTTCAGTTGTTTGCCAGTGCTACTAACGGTCTGCTCTCAATATCTTATCGAAAACTACACAAGGCGGTCTGCAGCCAAATCGTCTACAGCTGAAATGGAACCTGCTATTTCGGAATTACGAAGCGAGTGCAATGCCTAAGGCACAGATAACAATAAGTGGTTCGGAAAGCAATAGTAAAAAGAACCGCAATAACAATAAACGCCACATAATGGCAATAACGGTCTTGCAATCTTATGCTATAAGCGTGGAAGACTTCTTAACGCTGGCGGGTCTTCCCAGTCATGCCATCACTGTGGGATGTGAGTGCCAAACATCCTCGTAGTACAATATAACACTATTGTTAAACAAGACGGAAAGGTCCCAGCAACAACAACAAATAAACCCAGTTAACTATAACTACCTGTTTGGGAACAGTTCTCGTCTCATTGGTTTCGTGTTACTCATGACGCCATCTTCCCACGCTGCCAAATCGAGGCCGAATAAGGAAGTCATGTTTGCGATTTGCTCCACCATGTACTTCTTGAGGTCAGAGGTGATGCCGCTCTGACGTAATCGGGTACATACCGGAGACTTCTCCCACGTGCCTGTTGGTACTTCATCACCACCAAAGTGGAAGATCTGTCAATTAACAACACATAAAGTAGGTAACGATTGATCCTAATGACTAGGAAAGTCTTACCTATGGATTGATGATACTTTTACATGTACTAAGTGTGTGAGCCTTGGGAGCCGCCGTAACGTAGTAGCTAGACGTTCACATGTAGGTTCGAATGCTCACCGGGCAGGGCTGTCTTAACACAGGAGCACGCTGGGAACTTGCCTGGGTGCCCCACAAGTTTACTGGTCCCATGCTAATCTGTGTATGTCAAGTTACTTGCAAGTAAAAAAAAATGTCGTTTCTGTGAACGGTTGTAGTTGGGTCCCCCATCATACTGATTTTTCTAGGGGCCCCTAATGCTGGTAAAACAACTTTGGAATTGTTGTTGTTCACCCCAGCTCCTAAGTAGATTTCCTATCATTAGACACTGTTTACGTTTGTTGACTGTGCGTGTATTTGAATCACTGAATAACACTGATATGTCTGTCTCATCAACTTTTTCAATTCCAGGCATGAGTTTCTTTAACGTACTCCAAGCCTAACATGTGGTACTGAAGCTATAACATGTCTGAACAACAGTTGTTTTAAATAAAAACAGTTTGAGACAAAATGCATTTAACCAAAAATAGGGATAGAATGGGTTAATTTTGCTAGCTACATGATACAATACAGGCAAAATAATACAAAAAGTGAATAGTAAGTGAAGGAGTGGTTTGCTTTTGGTATTGATTGAATGCATTTCTTCTAGCTCAGTACTGATTTGGAAATGTTACCTAGTTCTAGTTCGAGTTCGTTGATGAAAAATATAAGCAAAACATGACCACGTTCAACCAGTTATCCCCGACTGGTAAGGAGGGGGGCGGGGGGGGGGAAGACTATCAGTTATATTGTGTTCTGTGTTTATTTGGTGCCATAATAATGGTTAAACATGCCGCCTCCAAGTAGCACGTATAGGAAAGGACTCTTCCGGTGTTGATGCAACGCGACAACTGCTCACAACCACCTCCCCGAGAGGCGACCGAGTACCCAATTGATGTGATGCTATGTAGTACAACCGTTCATCTTCTATTTAAGGGGTCCATGGCTTTTTGTGCACTTATTTAACTCAACTGATTAATGTTCTGAATTGGGCATTTCAAGAGAAGTAACGAAATAGGAGGAATATCTGACCAACTATTGCTATCAACAATTATAAGATAGAGAAAATGGCGATACGCCGGGTAAACAAAGCAAAGCTAACAGACAATCACCAAAGAGGTACTGAAATGAGAAACAAATGAAATAGGAAAACGAAGACGTCAAGGAGAAACTCTAATACGAACGTTGATGAGAGAAGCAAAAGTTGTTGGGATGGATTCCATCCATGATGTTGAAAGGATTGTACACTGCACAACAGGATGGGGAGTAGACTGTGAGCCCTATATGCATAACAGGATGATGATAATGACGACGACGACGATGAAAAAAAAAAAAAAAAAAAAAACTAACCCTAAGTGGACTAATATCCCTGTGCATGGCATAAAGCGAGTTTAGGACTCGGTTGATAAAGGTATACGTGGACTTGAGGCAAGGATTCATAGCTCCGTCAGCAAACGCTTGTACCGACAGATACTCTGACTCATCCTGCAGGTCACTCAACAGGAAGCTGCAAAACGAAGAACAAAATTCATCGCAATGAAACGTAAAATTTATATCCTTTTTGAAATCAGTCTCCCATCGGACTATGGTTCTAGACCTATTACAGACCATGTGGAGTTTTACGTGCGAGATTATCAACATCACACTAGCGTCCCTTGATATTTTATGGATATCTATTTTAGGAGTAGTGTATATAGGGGCCAAACTCAACTGTTTAAAAAGAAATCAATGGTATTTGAACCCATAATCTTCGGCTCAGGATACAAGTGTATTGCCAATGAATTTGTACCGATCCTTATATTTTACGATGAAGGGTACAGACTGATGGACTTTGGTTGCAGTGGGATGTCAGTCAGTTAGTCTTTACTCTTGGGCTTAGGGTGGCACATAGGGCAGAGGTCATAGCTCTCCAAGTCTGGCAATTTGTTGTCACCTGTTTTAGGTCTTGGACGTTTGTTAGACCCATAATTGAGCGTTCCCTGATTATGGTTTTACGTAGTGTCCCCCTTGGTATTCTACGTTTTCTTTAGCCTTGTGGTGTCCATGCGAGAAGTCTGATGTGATAAGTGGAAATTGCTAGAACGATGCAGTAGTTTATGTGACCCTTCACAGGTACAGTCAAGGTTGTAAACATCAAATGATAAAACAAATTAACCTGTTTTGTTTGACCCTCACCAAAAGACGTAGCGATAGGAAGATACACTAGACAACAGGAACATTGAAAGCAATAGTTACCATACCAGGACTCAAACATGTTGCACCCAAGTGACCACGGCGACTCACTCATGGAATAATTTTATTTCGATTCATGACCCAATCGACACCCATGAAGAGCGTGTCATTACTAGCTAGGTCTATCATACACGTAAACCAACAGCTATGGACTATCAACCGAATTCATATCCAACCAAAGAAAAAGCAGCAGTTGTTTTCAGAAATGTATATTAACCAAGCATAGTCCAAAAAAGCACAGAGCTAGCTGCAGACTACAAAACAACTTTAAATAGGCAAGAGCTAAAGTAAAAGGGAATGCAAGCATGCCCCCTCCTCCTCCCTCTCTCTCTCTCTCTCTCTCTCTACGCGCGCACACACACACACACGCACGCGCGCGCACACACACACACACACATGGCCTCTTCTCTGCCCCATAGAACTGTTGATGGCGCCACTTGGGACTATTAATTCCGATGCGAGAATGAACATCTCTGTCTGAATGTGTTAAATCAGTAAGATGAGTGTCACAACCCTATGAGTACAGTCAGTGGCGGAATGAACCACACCGTAGGGTATGCGTGTTGAGGTGACACCCCAGGGTTGACACAAAGGTCAGGGCCGTGACTGGTCAAGTCTGTTCTGTTATTGCATGGTGCAACCAGCGCTCAGGATAAACCGCTTGGCCACGACAAGAAAGGGTGAACTCTGTTGCAGACAAGTTCGCAACACGATTACCCCTTTTGGGGACTGAGCTGGTGAACGGGTCAAAAGACACGAGGTGGAAGGACACAAGACATTGAGTGTACCACGTTCGGACCGAGCAGACGTGTTAGAGAGACAGTGATAGTATATTAGAGTTAGGATACTTGTTTAATGACTGCATAGAGTATTTACAGTGTTCTGTTAGAATAGGATAGGTTTTGTGCTGTGTATTTAACTGGTAAAAGGTATTGTGTTGTTCCGTAAGAAGTAAATAGGTTCCAGTTACTTCTGACAAGTTAAATCGCTTAGGTTCATGTTCTGTGAGGGAATGTCTAACCTTGTCACACTGATCCTGCACTAGACAGAGGCTGTGACATCTGGTGGGTCAGCGTGGCGATAGAAAAGGGCGTATCTCGCCTAGCTGTGGTTTGTGCACCGTAGATTGTCTGTCGAACGTACTGGAGAACGAGGCGATTGTAAAGCTCGTTCGGCCAGAGGGTCCAGGCAATAGGTGGCCACACAGCGGGAAGTCAACTGTCTGTTGTATTATCTGTACTTGCAATAAAGATTGTCGTGTGTGCTCTGTGTGCGTTCGGGTTCAGTGTGTGTCAAAGGTTAGTTTGTCTGTCATAGGCCCAGTTACGAGCCACGGACCAGCAAGGTCACCCAAAGGTCTGTGACAATGAGGAATGTCTCGCAGTAAGTAATTTATATTTATTCTCAGTTTGCTAGATCAGAGTGCTTTCATAGAGCACCAGTCCACTTCAGTATTTTCTTCTTCGGAAATATATATCTTTTGAATACAGGTTTACGTGTATACGTCAAGGACTTTTCTTATCCGTGTGTGTGCGTACATACTTTCCGTTTATCGCCTCTGAGCTGCTAAGTGAAAAGTGTGACACCTTGAGATCATGAAATTTCAATCTGGATGACAGACTAACAGGGCCTGAAGTTTTAATACCGTAAGATTTTAAAAAGTCTCAGTGCTGGTAGCAGACCTACAGGGCAAACCTAGATGTCCGTTTAGCCTCCAAAGAAGTTATTCTTACGGCACCGGTAAAGACAACTCCAGCTCGATAGAACCTGCAGTCCTGTGCGAAAAATAATATTTCCGTGTAACTATTATATTGCATTTGGGTCTTCGAGTTTGGGAAACGAGGAACACCAACAACATAGCATCATACCGTGAGGCTTCGGTGACGTTGAGGGCCAGAAGTCTCCGATACCTGGCCTCCATAGCTTTGATGGCAGCATGGCTGTGTCCCGGCATGTCGATCTCCGGGATCACTTCTATGTGACGGGCAGTGGCGTAGCGGAGAATGTCTCTGGAATAGTAAAACTGGCTTACAATGACATCTATAAAATTCAGCTAGAGTATTATACGATATAGATAATAAGTATGTACACCGGAACCTCACCAGATTGTCGCAAGTCGTCAATAGCCTGATTTTTCCAGATGTCAACCATTTGGTTCTGCTCTCATCCTTGTTGAATAATTAACTCAATACTCAAGAGAAAGGCGAGACGGATATACAATCAGACAGTTACCGGTACTATCGGAATTTCAACTTTTCGCTTGCTGCTGAAGATGGGAGCCGATCGCTTATGGGGGTGTCTCAAGTGCTATAATGTCGACTTATAATGCAACATTCATTCAACATTCAAATAATTAACCACTTTCTCACAGTACATCTATTTGGCTTGGCTATTAGTGAACGAGTACCACAAAGTACAGCTTTTCAATTTCCGAGTGGAGCAGATTAGAAAAAGACCGCCCTCGTGGCTGTCGGACAGTAGCAGGAGAGTCACACCGTGAAAGAGAATTGGGCCTATCTATGGAAAATCTGTCTCGCCTGTAATAACACAAAGAAGATGGAGATATATTGGGCACACTTTGAGACGAAATGGGCAAAGATACAACATACACTGAAATATGAACCAAGCGGTTTGAGAGGAAAAACAAAGAGAGAAAGTCAAAGGAAAACTTTAAGAAGAACATTATTACGAGAGGCATTAACTGCTGATAACTTCATGTCAGAAATTGAGAAAGTTGCATGCAACAGAGGGGGGTGGAAGAATCGAATCGGAGCACTATAACAACACGCAAAGGATGACAGAGATGAACCAGTAGTGCCACTGGACCCCTGCGCCATAATTTTGCTCTAACTATAATGTGTTAGTAGTTTCAAGGGAAATTTGGCATTGAACTTTTTCTAACCGCTGACGCTTTGAGTCACGCCTGCAGGTAGCAGTCCAGATAAGAAAAACAGTCAGCCAGTCAATTTCAAGAAGTTACTTGTTTATCTATTTCGGTACAATGCTACTGTGTACAAGTGTATCGATTACTTTGTACAACATACGTACTTCCTTTAGTCCGCTGCACCTGTAACGAGTACAACAATTACTTCGCTGGTGTATCCCACAATCCATGGTGGGATAAGATTTATATTTGAAGTAGTAACTGCTTAGCAATAACAAAGTTAACTGACCTCATATAATAGCTGTGCTGAAATTAATGCAACCCAAACTCCGTACAAACCCATAAACGCTTCGTCCCCATCATCAGTCAGCACAGAGTTGCCTTTCCAGTTGCACCAGCATCGCTCTTGTTATATGTCAGTCTCGCTTTTCCTTTCAAAGCCGAATATCAACCAGATCCAGTTTCACAATTCTCTGCACCATTCTCTCCATGGCCATGATAATATATTTGTGCCTCTGCATTATTTACTTGCTTTTTACTTGCATCGACCACCTCTAGCTTGTAACGGATGGTTTTCTCACCCTGTTGTGCACAGCCAGACAGTCTGTCTGCTGTTCGTTTCCTTAAATACCTACATCTCATAGAGAAATTATCTGAAGGATGATAAATTAATGTTAAGTCAGTTTATCACCTGTAGTCTTCCACAGAGTAATATCCGGTGCCTGGAGGGCCAGGTAATGGTCCCGAGCCTAGGAATGGCAGGAGGCAGTGGGTTCTGGATGGATCGTGGCATCTGGTTGCACCCAGCTGGGAGGGATATCATCCGCATTAAAAAATGTCAATCAATAATGTATAGTTCGTAAAAGTAAAGTAGGGAACCCCTTTCTTGCCAGTAAATTTTTTGGCGTGTGGTAACACTGGTCTACATACATTTTGATGCCTTGTTTTGCCGCTGTTGTTTAGTAATTTTGTATTGCTGATTACAACAATGTAATCATATTTTTGTTTATATCAGCTACAGCTTTTTTGATACACAGGTATTTGTGTATTTAATGGATATTATTACAGATACAAGCAAGCATCTATCGACCGCGGCTCCCAGTGAAGTCACTGTTTCAAATTAATCCTGTACTTTGTTCATTTCAAAATCACCTGCACTGCACATCAGGAACACCCATAAGTACTCCGATCTTTGCCGAAAAATATGATGAGCTTTTAATGGGAGATAACCAAATGAATCACATTTCCAGTGAATTGGTTTAAGCTATGTCAAATGTGTCTGAAAACAAACAAACAAAAACAAAACAAACCTAAAAAAAGGGGGGGGGGGGGGGGGGGGTAAAAGACCCTTTAAACGCATTGGGCAAATAGGGTTAAACTCTATTTATAATGAACACTTAATGGGTGGGGTTTTCAGCATTACACCAGCCGCCTGGTATCCGCTTTAGACGGGTTTGTTTTAGTATCCAATGCTATGAGTTATTAACCCTAAGGCTCGGTATTATGGATATCGCAACCTTTCGGTCTTGATTCCATTGTAAATACCGTAAATCTGGGAGAAATGTGGCTTTTCTGCCCACCCCCGGGAGTGAACCCGGACCACAAGGAGTTCGTCACCCGCTCACCGCGCAATCCGGTTTAGCCAACTGCGCTAGAGAGACGGGCCTTTAGACAGGTCAACATAGGAGTCAATGTCGATTTTGAAAACAAAATCCACTACAAGGCGGATTCGAATCCAAGACCTCCAGGAAGGCAGGCGACTGCTACGATACCGCAGATCCAATCCCATCTTTTGGTGAGATAGAAATGTCCGTTAACAAGCTATACAATAAAACAATGAAACGAAAAGAAAAAGATTGGCTTAGGAACGATCCTATCAGGAGAAGAGTTGGTACAGAATCAATTCAAACAACAGACAACAAATCAAATGATTTGGCCATTTAACAAGACTGGCATCAGACAGGGCACCACAGAGAGGAGTGTTATACAGATACAGTGGTAACGACCCAGAGGTTGGCCACGCAGAAATATCAGAGAGACTCAAATGTACTTTATACTAAGCGAGCAGAAGAGCCTGTTTCAGAGATCTTTTCCTGTCGTGACGTCTCGAGGCATTCCGATGTAGGATATAGTGAGAAAGGTATCTGAACACTTATGGGCTGAATGATTAAATGTGCAATGAGTATCATCTATCGACTAACCAACAAACCAACCAACAAACCAACCAACCAACCAACCAACCAACCAACCAACCAACTAACCAGCTGACTATCTGTATGTGTTTATGACGCAACACGTGTTGTTTTGTATGCTAAAGAAATAGGACTAGATATTTTATTTGCAGCAGAATATATGTATTGCGGCTGGCTGTCATCAAGAAATGGGCGAACAGCAGTCTGAGGTAGTGTTAAAGGCAAAGCGTGGTAGGAGATCCACTGTAGCCAACCTTTACTGTACAGGCTTTATTGATAGAATTGACAAGATACAGTATGTTGTTTCTTTGGAAGTGATACATTTATAACTCTTGCCAGTGTTTACTGTGTCAGACTGTATTGCTGTTGTGAAACCATTTTAGGCCGAAATATATCAGGTGGCCTTGGATTTGCACTGGGAATATCGTGGGCACAGATATTTTAAAAGAAAAAGCTGAGGTATCGCATGTAGATATTGTTAGATAACCACATGTAAATTTGAAGGACATGATAACAAAATAAGACAAGATGACCAAACGGCTGAGACACTTTATGGTGATAATGATGATGATGATGAAGTCGATGATGCTAAACGATTACAACATACAGAGCTCTAGATAAAACAGGGACCGCATTACCTCAGTAAGTTCCTCGAGGCCAGGGATCGCCAGTCGCCAACCTTCGTCATCAGTCAGATGAAAATGCAGCTTGTTCAGCTTGTACATGGCCATCACATCCAGGTATCTGGGTGATATTATATTCATTTTCAGTTTTCTCAATAGAGGTTTCATTGGGGGAGGGGGTATGGTGGTAGAAAAGAACAATGATAACGGAGAAAATGACTGCTGATAAGTTAAGAGCTGAGTGTCTGAGAAGGAGAATATAAAATACACGCTAGGGCAGTGTTTCCCAATCTTATTTGTGCCATGCCCCAACTATGCGTTTCTAAAATTGTCATGCCCCGTTGTTGAAATATACACAATTCTTTTGTAGTCATTTTCTATTTTCGAATTTCTCACTCCCTGAACAATCAGACTGCTTCTCTCCCCTTCCTCTATCCCATGGTGCATAGACCCAACTGAGACACACTGCGCTAGGACAATGGAGGCCTGAAACCTAATGCTTTAATTTGTGAAAGATATTTCTTTCCGCCAGTGTGTCTTGCTAGTCACCTCGTTATCGGTAGGCTTGCATTTCCATACGGTTATATCAAATACAATATAACACTATCGCCTAAAAAGACGGAAACGTGTTGAGAGTTTTCTCTTGTCCATATTCTGATTTATGCCGATAGGCGCTGGAAGTAAACAGATGATCAGTATTCGAGCTAGGGCACACTCAGTTTCCGGGTATGCAGTGATGTTGTGGAGTCTTAAAGGTATCAATGGCTCTTTCAGTTCATCTTCTTCTTAACCGGCCCTTACCTCTTGATATTTCTGCTTTCATGTTGTACGCACTCATTTATGGTATCACTGGTTTCATTTTAATTAAAAGTCAAAACAAATTCAATCATTCACACTCCCCGCCCCAATGATTTACTTTTTCTTCCAATAGTTCTTCCTTTCTCACTTCTTGATCCCATCTAGTTTGTTCACGGCCTTATCAAACATTTGTTTTCGCAAGTGATCAGTTTGCTTTCATGTACTTTAGTCAATGTCCAAGTCTGACACAGACAACGCTTGGTTAGTATGAAGACTGCAATTATAATTTCTCTGTCTTTTTCTACTGAGATAGGTGTTTCAAAACTTAGAGTCACTCAATACGTGATAATGTTGGATTGCTAGATTATTGTCTCAATCTTTATGTCTATTCTGCCAACATATGTAAAGATGCTCCCATAATATTTAAAGTGTTGAACTTGTTTTAATCTTTATCAAATGCTCTAAAATGCAGCATTCCATACCAAATCTATACCACCAAAGCCAGACTAGCCCGTGTGTCACCGGGGCTCACACGGGAAGCAAAGAATAGTCACACTGCGCCCTACCAGGCATGTCGTATGGGACAACTAAGAGTTGGATAAGGCAAGAGATGGGCTACCACCGAACCAGCCATGGAAAAGTCAAAGAGAAAAAAAAAAACCCAACCAACTAAGATGAGAAGAGGCTTTTCTAGTAGAAGAAATATGACACGGTGTGAAGAAAGTCAAAAAGAGGTCCGGGTCGTCGATGTACCTCCTCGCACGTAGGAAAACCTCCAGAACTGGCACCTGGAATGTTAGAAAAGGGAGCTAGAGAGTCAAGTTAAAAAGATCGAGACGACATAGGGAGAGCTGCATGCGACAGCGAAGGATAGGATGACTTGGCGTAAGCTGGCTAAGGGCCTATGCTCCATTTGGGGAGGGGGGGGGGGTAAGAAAGGTAGAATAATCACATCCAGACTGTCATGCAAGTGTCTTTTACTGTATAATTTAAACGTTCTATTAATTTTTTCTAGTTGCTAGTTATTTTCTTCTTGCGTATTCAAAGCTAATTTAACATCGCTGTATCTCTCGTACACAGCACATTCCTCAAGAACGACGTTTGCTGTCCTCATTCACGGAAGAACCGGACAATCTGTCACATTATTATTATTCACGTACACATACACAGGCATCTTCGTCTTAAATCCATGCCGTGTGGCGTTGGTTGTCATGTTTATCCATAACCTTTTGTCTCGTGAACTTTCAATCAGCTCTGACACAAATGTTCCTCCATGCCATGATGCCAAACTGTCCACCATCGTTTCTCGCGGTCTGCCTCTGCCTCTTCTCCCCTCCAGCTTTCTCACTGTCACGGTGAGCCCCTGTTTTCTCCTTCTCATCACATGACCAACAAATGCAGACTGTCTCTTTCTGATGTGGGCAATCAGTTCTCTTCGTGAGTCACTTTCTATCAAAATACCCTCATTACTATTTTTATCTGTCCGACGTATTCTCAACATTCGTCTATAAAACTACATCTCCGCAGATTTCAAATAATGTTTCACTAATCTACCTACTGTCCATGATTCACTTCCGTATATCAGGATACTATTTATATAGCTTTTAAGAATTCGCTGTCTCAACTCCGTTGACAAAGAAAGATAGCATAAAATATTGAATTTTGTAAAATTCACACTTATACACACAGACACATACACAAACATACATACCTACACATACACACACACATTCATACTTACAAACACGCACATATACACACAATTATCATACCTGTATATTTTTTCCTTGCTCTGGAAATTTCGCGCCACATCAATGAGAATACCTCTATACGCATAGCGTGGTGCGTCTATCACATGGGATTCGGGAATCTGAGAATAAAGTCCAAATCACAACGTGGCCTGTGTTTTGAATGTCTTCACACATCGTAAAACTGTTAGATTAGTTTACTAAAACACGTTTTCGTTTGCAGTGTTTGGACGTAAAATAATTTGGTGGTATCTAAGGACTACTATAAGTCTTTTTCTTCTGCTGCTATTGTCGGCTCACTAATACGAGGTTGTAGCCCAATCATCGTGATTTTCTGTATTTGTCTTGCGCTTCCCGGGTGGCTTGAATGATGGATTTGTTCATCTTTTTTTTGCAGGTTTCAGCTACATTATTTATCCATCTCTTTCTTGGTCTCCCTCTTGCTTTCCAACCAAATGGCTTACTTTAAAAAGTCTCAGATGCAATCTGGTTTGGCTGCATTCTCCCTAGGTGGCTGTACCATTGCATTCTTTTTCTGTCAATATAATCCAGACGTGGTCTTATTCGAACTGTCTCTCTAATGTTCGTATTCGTAATTCTGTCTCGTCTAATGTAGTTACGGACCTTGCAGAGGCAGCGCATTTCACATGTAGTTATTTTCTGTTATAGTTTCCTATTCATTGTCCATATTTCACACTGATAACACACCGTTGGGATAAAGATGATATTAATCATTTGCAGTTTTGCTGGAAGGGAAACATTTACTATAAGTCTTAATGCCCTTTTAATTGCATTAATTAAACGAAACAGTCACATATTTTTATTGCGATGTTTCTCATGGATACAACAAACTGCCCCTATTGATTGGCAACATGCAATAGTTATTCCATTGTGGAAGAACAAAGGAAGCAAACGAGAATGCGGTCAATACCGAGGCATCTCTCTTTTAAGCCATGTTGGCAAAATGTATGCCAAGATAATAGAAACAAGACTGAGACCAATGATAGAACCACAGCTGGCAGAAGAACAGATAGGATTTAGGAGAAATAGAAGCTGCACAGATGCAATCTTCACACTTAAACAGTTAATAGAAAAGAACATTGAATACAGTGAGAACTTATTTGTGGCATTCGTAGACCAGGAGAAGGTATTTGACAGAGTCGACAGACAATTATTATGGAAAGTAATGGCAAGATATGGAGTAAGCGAACACCTCATCAAAGTGCAAAAGTTTATACAGGGATTGTAGAAGTGTAGTTAGAAAAAATCAGAGAACATCTCATCCATTCACAGTAACATCTGGAGTAAGACAGGGGTGTGTCTTATCACCACTGCTGTTTATCATCTACATCGACAGTATATGCAAGAATGCCAAGCCCATGAATGAAAATGTTGGTAAGATCAACGAATTATTCTTTGCAGATGACCAGGCCTTGATAGCAGATACAGCCATAAAACTGCAACAACATCTAACATCCATGAATGAAGAATGTAAAACAAATGATATGAAAATCAACACTGAAAAGACAGAAGTGATGTCAATATGAAAAAGGAAGACAGATCTAAACATAGCAATAGAGTGCAAAAGCATTAAACAGGCATCTGAGTTTAATATCTGGGAACTACATTTACCGAAGATGAGAAATTGGATAAAGAAATTAACATTAGATGCAATAAAGCAAACCAAGTATTGGGACAGCTAGCCCCCCTCTTACAGCATAAGACAATCCCGATCAGCACAAAGAGACATCTTATTCAAAGCATATTTATTTCAACTCTGTGCTACCAGTGCCAGACATGGTCACTCACAACAAACCATAAAAGAAAATTAGTAACCATGGAAATGAGATGTCTGAGAAGGGCTGTAGGAGTGACCATAAGAGATAAGATAAGGAATGAGATCATAAGAGAAAAAGTCGGCACAGAACCAATTCTAAAGTACATATAAAGACAGCAAGTGAAATGGTTTGCCCACTTAGAGAGAATGCCTTGTGACACCATACCATACAACGCATACATGGAAAGGGAAGAAGGACGTAGAGCACGATGGTAGACCAAGATCGGGTCACACAAAAAACGAAGATGGAGAAGGATAACATCAGAGTACTATAACTCTACAACAGCACGATGTACCTATGGTCGAGGCGGCCAGAAGGACTAGAAACAGAACCTTATCCCTCGACACCCACAGCGGTAAAAGAGGAAGTGAAGAAGAAGAAGAAGAAGAAGATGTTTCTCTATCAGAAAATTATTATATAATTTACAGTTATCCAAATTCCTTCAGGTATTACTTTGGAATGTGTTGGTTGAGAAAGATCCAAACCTTGTTCGGGGAAAGATTGCCAACAAAGGTTTGATAGTAGCAACACAGCTGTGTCGAATAATCACCTGGTTGCATCCTATTCGTTCTCCTTAAATTGAAATCCCAACACTGCTTTTGCATACAGTGTCGTCTTCTAAGCTTGTAGAAGTGTAAGATACTGAATCTCATTGGAGACTAGAGCTTCTGTTTCTGAGAGGAATACAAGTGTCTATATACCCTCCTCCTTTTCTACTGCTAACTCATCTCTCTTTCTCTCTCTTTCTCTCTCTCTCTCTCTCTCTCTCTCTCTCTCTCTCTCTCTCTCTCAACACAAAAAATAATAGTTGCGAAGATAGGCTAATTAATTCTTATGCAACACAGTATAACAAGTGATTAAAATAACTAAGTACTTATGGAGGCGGCAATTACACAAACAAATCATCATCATCATCCGTAACAAGTCTTTGTAAAACATCATTCTGATCAAGACATGATTAAAACCTATAAGATTTCCATTCCCCTCAATCCCCCCTACTTTCTCACATGTTATACCCAGGGTGTTCTTGACATGTTGTGTACACGGTCGTGCTGGTGGAGCCTAGCCTCTTCTTCTAGAACCTTCACCTTCAGTAACTGCTCTATCCAAACCATGATGGCGTTTAATATGACTCAAGTATTTCAGTTCACGATAAACGGTGTCTATGGCATAGGCGTTACTAACGGGCAGACGTTTGGTAGCAGACCGCCTTGCGTTTGTTTCGACACTGGTATCGAGTGGTCAAAGACTGGCAAACTACCGAACGTAAAGTTCCCTCTAAAGCGAGCACACAAATTATTCCGGGGTTGGTTCTGCAACGTCCTGTAAAAGATACGCAACTATATATATAGATATATATATAATCCAAGCTACCATGAGGCAGGGCTGCATTCTTTCTCAGTCAATTTTTAAGATATATGTTGAAAATGTTATCAGAAACGCAATTAGCGACGAGTCATATGAGAGCTTTGATCCACTAAAAGTGTGAGGCAATCCTATCCCAGAATTAAGACATTCAGACGACGCAGTTCTGCTTTCCAGCAGTGTACAAGGTTGAGGAAAATTAATTATGGCCGTCAAGAAAGCACAGCGAAGAAGTGAATCTTTTCCTAAATCTCAAAAACACACACAAAAATCATATCCTCGGTAAATGCAGCACACCAATCACAAATCACAATCGAAAATGAAGAAATTAAAAAATTAAAAAGAACGTCAAAGATTTAGAATACTCGGGCTCTTTTGTGAACAACAGTGGCGACTGCTCGAAGGAAGCCAGAGGAAGACTTGCGTTAGCATTGTAGAGACTAAACTGCATGAAGAACCTATAACAAGGCATCTGTAAATTAGTCGAAGTCACTGAGGAGAAGATTTGGCGCTTTTGAATTAAAATGTTACAGACAAATTATCAGAATACCATGGATCAAGAGGAAGAGAAACATCGACATTCTACACGAGTTAAACATCAAGAAGAACCAGCTCATAAACAGCATCCTGTCACTAAAACAGAAAGTAGTTTGGCCACATCAAACGTCATGGTGTCTTGGAAAAGATGTTGGCTGGTACAGTTTGTGGGAGGCGGTCAGGGGTTGACCTCCGCGAAGACATTGAAGACGGATTAAAATTGAAAGCACAAGGGGCAGGAGACCTGGCTAGGAAAAGGGATACTTTTAGACGTGCCGTTGAGCGATCGACAATCTGTAAAGAACATGCTAACTGATGATGATGATATATATATCTGTAAGGGATATTGCCCCTCTTCTTGATCCACGGCTCATTAAGAATCTTTCCGTAACATTTGAGTTCAACGCTCCCACTTCATAAATTGCCATGGTCCATTATGACGACACGATACATAAATAATCCAAAACCATGCAGGGTGACTTACACTGCCGTTGTTCTCTGCAAGACTCAGAAGCGTCTGAACAGCATAGAAGGCTCCCGCCGGCTGTGAGGCCCGTATAGTGATGGTGTTTGTAGATGATTCAACCTTTAGGTCGTAGGCTAAAACAAAATAGGAAATCACAACATTTGTGTACAAACGCTTGAGTCGTAACGGATTAGCAATATTCACAGTCTTCTACGTTGCGTTGTGTCAATATACGTCACAAGGAGTAGTAGTAGTAGTAGATTTTTACCCCACCAGGACAAGCGATAAACACCCGATGACACAAAGTGCCACCATGTGGATGAGGATCACCCGTAGAGAGGTCCCAGAAACCGCGTTCAGCCATTAGACCATATTTATGGTTTGGCTATACTGCGGACCCTGGCAAGAGCCAGAGTAGGGCTTCAAATAACGAAAAATTGCAGCTCACAAGGAGATTACGGATTTAACAATGTCACAAGGAGTTTTATTCTTTAGTTCTAACCCGTGCTGTTTTTTCAGTCATCAACATCATTATTTTCCACTTTCGCAGTTAAGTGACGTAGGGAGGAACAGTTTGCGATCCAGTGCTTGATGGGCAGGAGTGTCTATTGTCGTTCTGTGTCGACATAGAAGCTCTTTGCTGTCATCAATTCATGTTCTCATAGGGCGGCCTCTTGACTTTCCTTCAGATCTTTTCATGCGTGGCGCGCCTGCGTTGGTAGATGTTCTGGCTGCATTCCTTCTAAAAAACCAAATCATCTGATCTTCTGTTTCTCAATGAATGCGCTGCATTGTGTTGTTCCTACAGTCTGCTTGATAATATCATTTCTAACTTTGTCTCGGATGGTTAAGTTACTGGCTTTTCTCAGGCATGTAATTTCACAAGTGGTAATTTTATGCAGGTTAGCCTTTGATAAAGCTCAGATCATTACGTGCATTTTTATGTACACATTTCTGAGCCGTAACGGATTGGCAAGATTCATCATCTGCTTCACTGCGTTTTGCCACTATACGTCACACAGGGTGTGCAGTTTATTCTTCAGTTATATAACCCGTGAGTTGTTTGAGTGTCATGGATACAATTCAGACTAGTATCTTCGGCCTCTCCAGTCGGTTTTCTTGGGCCCTTTAGTGAAATATTTCCGATAGGCCACTGAGGTAAATGGGTCTTTTACTTACTTAGTAATCCGTCTCTCTCTCTCTCCCTCTCTAACCGCACTATCGCGCGATAACTGCGAGTCTACTGGTAGCAGAGGCACCGACGCAAACAAAAAAAAAAAAAAAATTAGTGGAGGAAAGAGGGTGTTGCCCACTCAGTAGCCTTACATGAATTTAGGGGGTAAGACATGCTCAAGGGGCCTACGCTTTGTTAATTTTTTTTTTTTTTTCCATTCTAGTCGGTTCCTGAGATCTCCTCATTTTCTACGAGCACTAAGACAGCCACAGTTTGCTGGACCAATCACAGTGTTTTCAAAGTCCCTGAAATTTCACACTTGAACTAGACTATCACTTTCACTAGTTTAACACAGTTTCTACTCTAGGAAGTCCGAAACTGACCTTGGTTGGATGCTGGCCGAAAAATAAACGTCAACTTGCCGGAAGTTAAGATCTAATATATATATATATATATATATAGTGTGCTGAAAAGTAAATACTAAAATATTTAAACAAACACTTCAATAGAAACATTCTTCATATAAAACATCGTGTTCATTTGCGGGGTGGGGTGGGGAACTGAGGTGGTTTGATTCTCCTAGATTCTAGCGCTTATAATTGGCAGCAAAGATGCTGATGGGCTCTAGGTGCGTCATAGATGTAGATATGAAAGGTATTATATCAACAAATACGAGACCCACTCTAAAATATGAAACACTGAGTTCTCTCTTACCTTCATGAGTGGGCAGTGTTCGTCCCCGGACTCTCGTCTCGACCTCTTCCTCGACAAAGTTAATGTAGAAGCTTGAAGGCGCCTTCAAGACCATTTGAATTCTCCATACATCTTTAAAGGCGGGAAAAAATGCGCGCTCTTGTTTGTACAAAACGATAGATAAATCCAAAAACAATGCAAGAAATTGGGAAAATTGTATGCCTAACAAAGCCAGATTTAAGAGAGACAATACTGCAGACACATACTTTAAATACTGCCTCGTTCTCCAGTGATAACAGGGTTGTGTAGGGTTGTCATCACATTGGGTCGAAAGTAAAGAGAGTGTCTAGCAGGCACTGCAGTGTGAGAAATTCAACAATTGATTTATCAAAATTCCCGCCCTCGAGATGGTATCATCTATTCATATGAATCATTGTTGAGAGGCTAAACAGTGCACTGGGCTTCATTGCAAACACGCTTCTCCCCCCCCCCCCCTCCACCCCCCCCTCACCCACACACGCACACATACACACGCACGCACGCATGCACACACGCGCTCGCAACGCACGTACACTCACACACACACGCGCGCACCACACACATACTACACACATGCACAAAGCCTAGGATGTGATCCCGCATCTAATCATAATTTACGAAATGAGGTAGAGGCACCCCTAGCAGTTTTCCGCTGGCTTGAGAACTAGGTGCACATGCGTGTGACTGTAGCAAAATATCAAAGCATGCTGAGAACTACTGAGAAATGAATTGTTTAGCGCATAGTGGCAAACATCACTTCAAAGGTCTCAGGTAGTCAGCTAACTTTGGATCATTTCTTCGGGCTATCCAGGTGTGCTGGGAAAAGAAAAAGCGGACAGAATGGCTAGCGCTGTATTACTGGGTGGTGACTTGATGCACTGCAAACTTGATGTGGTCAACATCTTTTCTGAGAAAGGGAACATTGCAGAAGTGCGAATAGATCATTACAGTGTGTCGACAATAGTTCGAAAAAGGGTTGCGGACAGGGTAGGGGTGGGAGGAAGGGATGACCAGAGATCTAACTGACACTATTCACTCAAATCAATAACACGGCGGACATAAAATCAGACTGCTGCTAGTAACATCGGCGTTGCGATTATTGGACTGGCTCCTGAAGATGAGGTGGAAGCGCCAAGGTAAATATTTTAAGTGCTGTGACCAGCTCAAGCAGTCATCACATCCTTTGCGATTGCATGCAGCTCACCCATTTTCCTCTCCATCCTTTTAACTACACTATCTAGCTCCCTACACCTTGTGGTTTTTGGTCTGTTTTCATTTGTTTGACCCTGCAGGTTCCACTGCAAAGACATTCTCGCTAATTCATCTCCATCTTCAGCGTCTTTTCTTCACCTCTTGATTCTCTGGAATTTGTAGCTATCTTCCCTAAAGTTTAAAATTAGTCACTTTGCCAGACCATTTAATGAATGTTTGTAGTTTGTTAGCAGGGCAGTGTCTTACCACAGAGATATTTAGCCTCGTTGGCAAACAGTGGTGCAGTCACCACCACCCATGTGTTAGCCATCAGGTTGATCCTCGACAGCGGGTTGTACACTGGCATCTGGACAGGGCTGAAAGTGAGGATGACGTTTGATTGCATTGGAATTACAAAATGTGGGTATGTACTTCTTGTATAAGACTATCATCTGTGTCGGTATGAAGAGTTGAAAGCGGGCGAGCAAGAGTTAAACAATGTTTTAAATACGAGGATAGCATAAACAAATTAAATAACATTATCTCAGATCGTGAGCAACACGGATGCTGGATAACGAGTGTTGGACGTTATGGCAAGCAGGTTTTACCGTGGTATCGGAAACCTATTGACTGGCAATCTATGAGCACAGAAACTACGATATTCTGTAATAAACAAAATTAAATTTGTAGGATGTTTGCATCTGATCGCAGCACTTGTCTTTATAACGGGGAAACTTGGTCAACCTATTCGCATCTGCAGAGACGGCTAAATGGTTTTCACATGCCATGCCTAAGAAGAATACATGGCAAGACATGATCACAAACACTGAGGTATTTAAAAAAAAAAAGCAGGTATTGCAACAGTTTTCTCAATGCTTAGTTTACGAAGGCTCGGCTAGCTGGGCCCTAGCTGGAGAGTGGAAATCCCTAACAACATCCTCTAATGTGAATTACAGATGGGTAGAAGATGTCGAGGCCGACCTCTACTCCGATATAAAGATGTGTCCAAGCAGGACATGAATGATACACGTACTTAGTTGGATTCTTGGGAACAAAATGCCATGGACCGTGTTGTGTGGAGGGGGCATATCGGGAATGGAATGAGAATGAATGAAGGAAGAAATTATTGCAGAAAGAATTAGATCTAAGAGTCTAAGAAGAGAAAAAACACAATGAATACAAAAAATGGCAAAACCGTGACCACTTTTCCTAACGCGGGCGGGTCTTCCTATTGTCTGTGTGTCCCATGCTTGCTCACAGCAAAAGAGTGCACTTTTAACGGATATTTATGGGCATAGTCGCCAGAGCTTTCTGTGATGCTCTCAATAGACCACTGACTAGCCTTACTGCGCACAGAGACCTCTGTGGAAATTCACAAATAGCGAATGAGATAGAATATAAATTAATAAGCGCACTTGTATACAAGTGGCTAGAACACACTTGTATAAAAGTGGCTATAGCACACTTTCCAAGGTAACCTATCACACCAAAGAATAAATGCTAAATAACCAATGACCTGAATCCTTGGGTTCAC